TTAAATTCAGGAAGTAGTGGAGCTGTGCATAGAGCCCATTCACAACACGTTTCATCTTAAGGCTCTTTATAGAAACAATTCAACCAGATCATCCAGTCAGTTTCATTCAAAGGGAGAATTCGAATTCATGGGCTGCATCCTCTGAAGGCCGATTACGTCATACCTAGTGTTGCACCGATACCATTTTTTGGCCCCGATAGAGATACAAATACCTGGCTATGCAGTATCGGCCGATTCCATACCAATTCCATACATACTGTTTGTAAAATAATCACCATCATGGCTTCATGTCAAGCTGCTGCCTACCTTTATGAAGCAGGAAAAAGACTAAAACAGTGAACCCAGTAGAAGTTTTTATAGCCTACCTGGAATGGGGGACAATAGTTGAAGAAACTTTTGGCTCTCAAAATGGTATCAGTGATGCTACTTGCCGATGCCACCATTTAAGTCCTGGATCGGGGGCCGGTGATACTGGTATCGGTGCAACAGTAGTCATAACACGGCGCCAAGGTCCGGTCGGATTCCAAGACTCCTCGTTACGCGTTTTTTTTTGTGGAGTTTTTAAAGCACTAGTGGCCCATTCTATGGACAGTATGCTGACAGGAGAGGGGTAGGGACATGCAGGAAATAACCACAGGCCAGATTCGAACCCAGGTTGCCTGCGTCAATGACTAAGGCCTTCATACATGGGCTGTGTGCACTAACCACTGCACCTGCGTCCTTCTTTTTGCCCGTTTTGAAGGACAGGTCTGGTGTATCTTGCGTAACCTTGGTTTTCCCAGGATTCATTGCGAGACCAAGCAAGCCGGCTGCTCCGCGATCAGAGGAAAAGGTATTTGGCGCCAAACAGTGGTGAATATTGGAAGTTCAGTTGAATATAATCTTAATATGTGAATAGTTCCGTCTGAGATGAATGAAAATAGTTGTTTTAATGGTTATTTAGTCAGATATGTGGCGGAAATGTTTGATTCATCTAAAGGTTTTAATCTGTTACTGTATAAATGGGTTTGGCTGCAATTTAAGGACAGATTCTAATAGATCTGCAGAATTGGGGACTATAAATCTGAGAAAAATGTTTAAGAATAACATAATAGCGAAAAGTTAAAAGACAATTAATAAAATCCTGTAAAGTGTTTTAACAATATCAAACTGTTCACCTGGAGAATAAATAACCAATATGCAGCTATGGACATTTTTACAGTAAT